AACTTGTTATTAACTTTTAAAACCCAGTTCAGTAAATATGACAATCAGTTTTGGATACATAGGGTATGCCAGGTTAAAAATAGAACTTACAAAGTTAAAAATGAATCTCCAACTTATTTCATTACTATTAATTTGGAGTACGCTTAAAGTTTTTGCAAATAACTTTTAAATTGTGAGTAAAACGACCAAATTAGATGGTAATAATTCGAAGGAGAATAAAATCTCCTATAATTTACTAATATGCATTTCTTGAAAATACTCAATAAAGGCAGCCAAAAATTGCCTAAAAAAATGAAAATTCCCGTTTTTAATGTTTACTATATCTATTTTCTACATTGAAAACATGGATTTTAACATTCATTTTAGGACATTCACTGGACCAAGAGACAACGCTTAACAGTGGCACTGTCTTTATCGACAATCTGCAGTGATAAATCTAAATCAATATTTAACTACTGAGAATCCTTCGTAAAATATTTAGTAACTACAAGATTCAAGAGCGATTAAGCCAAACTTTCTTACCACGCCCAGTTTATAGTCACCATTAGTGGGATCATGACGTTAATAAAGGAAACAATAGTCTGATAGTTCTGTAACGACCAGGCCAGCGACAAAATCATTCACTGCATTAAGATGAATTGATTAATATGATTGTACACTTACTTTTTTAACGTTTCATTATCACTACACTCCAATATATATAGGTACATTTTTATTTTACCAGGGTTCAACATTTTAGGATGTCGGTTCAGCTTGTATCCCTTTATTTATCGTTGTGTTTAAAATATGTAAGCAGCATTTAATGTCTTTGATATAGAATAACTTATAGATTGTCTCAATAATACCGAGATGCATTTAAATACTCCTATCAATTTCTAGGTTAAGAAAGTAAAAATTGCTGTTTTAAAATGTAATGAATACAAATATTTTTCGAAACATTTTTTTATTAAAACATTTGTTTTATGAACGATATGATCAATAAGAAATCGTAAAAAAATGGTTGGTTGCCATGCTGATGAAGAAATAACAACAAAATATAAACAGAAAATAAAAACAAATTGAAAAATTCTAATCACATGTTTTATTTACAGCGTGGTTGAAAATAGGGAAGTCTGTAAATTACATATTTTTGGCCGAGTTTTAGACCACTCTGGACAACCTCTAGTATTCACCAATACACGAAGACTCTTTAGTTAATGTCGGATTATGTATTAAATGATAACGACGTTTTGGCATGAGTTTCATAGTACTATAAAAAGAGCAACAATACGTCAACCTGTAGTCTTACTTATTGATTGTTACCTTTTTTTAGTTCTTTTTTCATCAAACTTTCCTATCCTCATTAGTTCCAATTTTTAACATCCCATTTTTTTAAGGAGATAGAAAATTAAAATAACACTCTGAATAGCTTGAAATGATACAGTTTAAATGTTTTATATCTGTTCGTATTGAGCCTGACTATTTCAATGTGTCATTGTTAGAACCAAGGAAGATACTAAGGCTGTGGAATAAAATATAACGAAACTGTACCTCGAGGGCTTACAGGCCTACAATCTCCTTATTATAGCGCTGATTGTTCGGAACTTCCTAGTGAATGTTAAAGTCCTTACAATCGCGAGTTGTTTGGAAACCCCTCCTTCACAATCTGTACCATTATACCATATCTCGTTCACTGAAGTATGGGAATGCCGTCTCACCTAAGTTTAACGCTTTCATCTCTCAAACGAAGAATCTTGTTGTAGTTGAGTCGTTCACATTTTTTGTAGCGTAATGGTTAGTATTGTAAGTGAAGATTCCTGTCACTCAAGCTTGCTTTGGTGCTATTTTTTTTAGGTTAGGGTTAGTAATCTGAAGGGAATGTTAATACAGTATTTATTTTTAGCTGCACGTGTTCTCTCAGCAACAGCATACATCATTGTTGTTTTAAGGTTCATTCTTATATTTTTAGACATTCATTTTACATAATCCATTTTCTTAACTTTACTGTTGGTACTTCACTCTTGTTTAAAATATGAAGCAATTGACGGGTCAAAATATGATTTTAAACTTTTTTTTATTATTTAAACTTTGAAGTGTGATACGTGTGTGTTGATATTATAAATTCCACTGATGGTTGATATATAAATAATTAATATCACATGAATAGTAGCAATGCCTTTAAACATTATAGAAAGTCTGTTATTACTCACATCATATGTGACGTCATACATTCAAAGATTAGCTTCCGGTTCCAGTTCATTTTCTTAAAAGTCAATTTCACTACACGTTACCTTCAATCAGAAATGTTTTGTCATTATGATAATGTCTTACAATAATCATTTGATATAGTTTTTTACATCATCTATTATGTTTTTTGAGTCAATAAAACTAACTTGATTTTACAGAGATACTAGCTGACCCAGCGAACTTCGTATCGCCTAAGTTATAGGTTTCCCCTAAGACAGACCGATGGAAAGAAAGTAGACCGTTACGTTTAATTTTCAAGATGATCTCGTTCGCATCGCTCAATCACGTCCTGGTTGAAGTTCGTTCGCTACGCTCACTCACCTTTGGGTTGGAGCTCGTTCGCTACGCTCACTCACCTTTCGGTTGGAGCTCGTTCGCTGCGCTCACTTGCCTTCAGGTTAGCTCGTTCGCTACGCTCACTCACCTTTGGATTGGAGCTCGTTCGCTACGCTCACTCACCTTTAGGTTGGAGCTCGTTCGCTGCGCTCACTTGCCTTCAGGTTAGCTCGTTCGCTACGCTAACTCGCCTCCAGGTTGAAGTTCGTTCGCTACGCTCACTCACCTTTTGGTTGCAAATTAGCTGTTGTCATAAATGTAAAAGAAATAATAGTGCTGCACCCTGTTGGTAATCCTTGTAACTTTAATGCTATTGAACATCATAGAACAGAACCAACTTGTTTAATTGAAACAGCTGTTAAGATTCATTAATTCCATTTCTCACAAGGTTAACATGGGAAACTCCAGAGCCACTGGGGCGGAGCCCTTTTAAGAATTTTGAAACGGGAAATAGTTTACGTCCGATTCGCATACCTACAGAATTTACACACCAAATTTCATAACGATCGGTGAAGTCGTTCCGGAGGAGTTTGCAGACAAACACTGTGACACGAGAATTTTATATATTAGATTTGCAGGTCTATAATCTATTGAGAGTTATTATAAACACAGATGGCCGTCTGTGCATTACATATGATATTTGTATGTTTATATGATCCATGAAATTTTTTTTACAAATGAGGAACATATGATATACGATTAAAACTTACTTACTTTTTTTTCAAAGTACTGGATGTAGTTACGAAGATATGATTTAATTGTTGTACGTATTTAAAACACTACTTATTCTTTCCCAGACTCATTCTAGAATTTACTGTATATTAAATGTTCTTATTTAATAATTACTTTGTTATTGTAGGCTTATAATATAATCAACACGTAAAACGCCAATGTAGAGTTCTATTATATCATATAGGCCTAGCCTATTGGATGATCATGAAGTATCTATAAGAGCAAAAGCAATATAAACACATTATCTGTTATCTCGCAGTTATCTGCTTGCATGTTAGCTCAGTAAATGTAATATCCAATGTCACTATATAATACAGCAACTTATTGCGTGTTTGGCTAAATATAAACCACAATTTCAATATCTGTGAATATGGTAGTCACCTTTTATGCATTTGTATTTCATATAGTAGGGTTTGTTTATCTGCCTAGATTAACAAGAAGATGGAAACGTAAAATGCTTACGAAATTCGGTTACAAAATGGCCACCCAAAGGGGAAAGTTCAAATGTTTTACTTGTTTGAAAGTTCGAGTAACGTGTTACCATTGTCTGTGCATTCAGCAAACAGACTTCATGTCAAAAACAAGAAAGAATGTTTTTTTTTAACGTACACAAACACTTGAGTATGTTTCATTACCTCAATTAATATACATTGCAGTTACTTTTACAATGCAAACTGTTATATTTGGTTTTGGTACCAGTGCGTGCTGAAACAAGATTTTAAATTTCATATGAAAACTTTTAACCTTTTTAAAATAACCTGTGAAAATAAGGAGATATAATTGCATTCAAACATTACTGGATATTAAATATAAATAAATACTTCAGCTTATTCACTTAGTTGATAATTTTAAGAGGGAGTATGGTTTGTTATTCTCTGTATCTTCCACTACGATCCTTAAACTTACTAAATTTATAATTACCACTGTAACCAGGAAAATGAAACAAAACATTTGCTTACATTACAATTTATTAGTTTCTCTTAGGCCACTCTTACGGTTGACCCTCATCAAATTTACATTTTGATTATTTTACAAAATACTAATCTTTTGCTTGATATATGCAGATAAAATTGTTATCGTTTCCTTTTTGAAACTTAAAAAATGATCTTAATCAATTTTATGTATTTAAAATATCATATACTTCCACTATAAATTGTTTTTAGGGTGAAAAGAAAATTCAATAGGTACGACATCAGTTTAATTATTTGCCAATATATGTTTTCCAACTTAACACAATTTCATTAGCTGCACGAAGAATGATATGAAAATGTGGTTCTTGCAATGTTAAAAATTTCCAAGAAAAGTGCTAATAAAATATAATCTATGATACATTTCAACTTCGCATTGTAACAAAATATATTGTAGAAGTCTTCAAATATTGTCTGCTTCACAAAAATGCAATAAAGTTTATGAATACGTACATAAATATATATACTATCATCTGATTAAATGCTCAAAATACTCTTGAAAATATATATAAAGCTTACACATAGATTTTTGTAACTCTAATGTTTTTAATCAATTTAAAACTAAACCTTCATTTAAATAACCACTATAATAGTATTACCGTCGTGCATTTTAACCAAACGGAACACTCATAGCAACATTAGTTGTGTAAATGTTGTATACAGTGTAAAATAAGCTATACATTTCCATGATATCAGACAAATATAATGGGTGTATATGAAAAACTGATTTTCTTTTACTTACTTCAAATTAAAGTATTTACAACAGTAGAAATAGTCTTTGACTTAGAAATTACGAATCAGGTTAAACGAACATTTTTCTAATAATTTTAACTTTTCACACATTTTATTTCAGCAGTCATGTTAACATTATCCATCACCAATGTTGACTTGCTTTCCTTTTACAATATTAAAAATACATTTTTCACGTGTGCTTAGGGTGATGATGTATGCTTATTGACATATATTTATACAGCCCTTGCTTACGATTCAGCAGTCCAAAGCTATAAGATAACATTTAACATTGATGAAATCTAACAGTGACCATGTGGACTGCTGGGAAAGCATTTTGGGAGCACCCGTATTGCGATGTTAGACAGTTATCCACGAATTTATCGGGAATCCTAAATGCAAAATTAAAGAACAATAATTTAATAAAGCTGGTAATATGGGTCATGCAAAATTTGTAAAAAGACTTTTTAATATATATGATACTGATGATCAATATTATAATATTCAGCTGTATCTAAAAAATATATTTCTCAATAGCAATGGTATATTAACATAGAACCACAATTTTGTGATATGGTTATAAGTGTAGTAATTTTAAAATAAATACCCTTAAGATAATTCTTTACAATATTTTAAGATCACCAATAGTAACTGAAAACGTCTTGACTATAATACTAGGTAAATAATAGAACGTCACTTAGTTAAAGACTTTGAAATAAGTGTCAAAATTTTAATATTTAAAAACTTATCAAACGAAATAATTACCAAGAAAAGTTACTCTGCATCAATTATACAAGGGGGTCTTTATTCAACATTTAGGAACGTAAGGTTACAACTTACACGGTTACAACTCAGATAACATATGTAACAAAGTGTTGGTGGCGACTGAAGGGATGATCAGCTGTCTACTTGCCCCACTTTTGGAACAGCCCTTTGCGCTGACACCGGCAGTTCGCTCCCCACAGATTGCATCGACATGTGCTGTTGACGCAGCAATCTTTAGGGCGGTGGTCACAGTTGCCGCCACGTCTTACACACGCTCTTCTGTAAATGTAGATCAAAGAAGAACGCCTGCAAAAATCATTAAAAACCTTCCAGAAAACGCCTAAGTCCTAATGTTAAGAGGTGTGATAAGGGGTGCGCCATTTACGATGTTCGTTTACTAGTACTAAAGTTGATAAACATTCACCTATTTTAGTTCATATTGCTACTTTGTTAAGCATTATCTTCCTTGTTTGCAAGTACAAAAATTGCGGCTTAAAAATAGTGACTGGCCTTAAAGAAAATGACCATCTACTTCAACCTGTGTCATTGTTTACCATTCATTGTTATTTACAACATAAAAAAGTGATCCTGCTAAAACATGTCTATTATAAAAGACCTCAACGGTAGCCACCAACATCTCGTTGCCCCAATGTGGACATGATACTCAATCCCAGACAACATGGAGACGACATCAAGACACGAAACATCTAGTAAGTCAATGAAGGACCTTGTAGGGCGGGACCTGGGGTTCCCTGCCCTCAGCGTCCTTCCACTGCACTGTCACTTGTCCGCTAAGCCTGCAGTGCCTGTCGAGTGCCGGCTGGAACAACCATCTCATCAACAAACCCTTCACAATTCACCATAAGTGTTTTAAGGATTGCATTTAATTTAATTTTATACAAGATTGTTTTAACCGAAGATGTATAAAAAAAATGTTTTCTAAGTTTAAATTGATCTTATCTTAACACTTATTATGTTACTGCTTCGTTTCGAATATTTTAATGTCTTTCATTCAATAATGATTCAGCTAAAGGCATTAAAGGGCTAAATATAAACTGATGATTAAACTGTAGTAACATTTTTAGTCTATAACTTCTTATTAGATAAAAAAAAACTATTAATTTTGCCAAATAATTTGGGTTTTGTACTTTTTACTTTTTTTCTTTATATGTTTAGTTAAAACCCATATTAGGAGTAAATATTTTAAATTGTGCAACTAAAAAAAACACGCATATATTGGAGATGATCAGTAACATAATAATAAACATTACCTTAAAAAATATTATTAATACTCAATTACTTATTCCTAATGCCTAGGATGACTAACTTATTTCAGTAGTAAGCCACTTTAATTTTTTAAATACTTTTATTTATTTATTTAAATAATGTGTTCTTATCAATAATATTGCAATCCACATGATATAAATTGAGCATGTCATAGTACAGAATACTTGCAAACTGCCCTTTCAGTCTTACGAGTTCGTATCATATTGAAAACTCCATGAATTTTTTCTATTCCTGTTAGTTTATTAGGTTTCCTTTATTCTCAGTACTTCTTAAGATTGTACAGTTACCCAATTCAAAGCTTCATCATTATTTATTTGAATCTTTATTTCTTTTTTGAGTATAGCAATTCCAGTAAGATAAGATATTACACATGTAAAGCAGCTAATGGTATGCATTTTAAGCTTTTTAAGAGAACCCCCGGCAAAAAACCCTGTAAACATTAAACCCTTTTTAGTCACAAAAATTCAAAATCGACCAGAGCTTTTTTTAACCACGGTCTTATCACACCTCGTTACTTAAATACCACACACGAGGCGAAGCACACACAGTTGCCACTCACTTCTGGGCAGTCTGCAGTAATCTGTCCAACTCGTTGTCCGTAGGGTACTCTTCGAACAGGGACTCGTCTGAAACAAAGGATATCATTAAAATAATACGAGAATGTGTGTAGAATTTATGCTTCCCTTCTATTGAGAAAGTAAGAGATTTTTCAACGTTCTCGAATTATAAGTTTGTGTGGAAATATCCATTTTTAGGTCCCCCTAAACTAAAAAAGTATTTTTAAAAGTAATGTATAGGTGTGTGTAGATTTGTACAGAGTTCTACGGAGTACATAAGTGGTCAGATTTTTACGAAATTTGGTATCCGGAGAGATGCATGGTATCTCCATGCGTTTTTATTTTGATCTTTGATGGTAACTGTTCTATAAAAAACCCATATAATATCCATATATAAAGACAAATATTTTGTTTTACAAAAAGGCTTTAAAGATAGTAGCAAAACTGCAAAGCTCTAGAAATAGCGATTCAAAAGTTTTTGCAAATGTTATTATTTCACCATAAATAACATATAGTTACCACCTCATTTTACCCACGGCAATTCAGTGTCAAGCTGATTGGAGAAAGTATGCGTCAGATTGCAGGTACATTTCATTTCAACAAGTGAATATGTCTTTTATCTAGCCTAAATTACGCATTTTATTGTTTGCTCCCAGAGACGAGAAGATGGTTTTCTTTATCAAGAAATGGTTAAATCAACATGATAAAATTGCGAACTGTGTTAAGTTTATAGTACTTCTAAAGTACTATATGTTGGGTACTACTAAATTAGTATTAAGTTAATTAGCTGAATTATTAAATCATTACGTTTGTTTATTTTGGTGAGCTCGTCTAATAAAGGTAAACCGTCCGTGTTTAGAATTAAAAGTCATATTTACTTTTTATTCTAAATTGTATTTAAAATATAGGCCATTAACCTCTAAAATATACCTAAGTAATTTCATTATTAAGTTTGGCTATTATCCATGTCGAAATGATGCTGTTTATGCTGTTGAAGACTAAACGAATTCACGTTCTTCTTAACTGTACTTTCCTTACTACTTTATATTAGACTATCAGTATTTATTTTCTCATAAGGTATAATTAGTACAATGTACACTACCAATACGTTTTTTGTGTATTTTAAAATAAATGTTTGTTGACTTTGACATATTGGGCATTTGGTTGTTTAACTCAAAGGTATAGCCTCAGCGAAGGTAGTGTAGGTGGAAAATGTAAATATTATCTCCCGGATTGGGACGCCATTTTTTTCTAGTTATCCACCAACATAGATAGATTCATTAAAATAGAAAATGGACATTATCTATTTATTTTGTGTTTAGGGACAATAAACTTAAAACAGTTGTAGACATAAGGAAATGAATCGTATGTAAAAGGCTGGCATTAAAGGACATTTTACAAAAAAATACGTTGTTAGTTTGTTTAGAAAATAAAAGGTGTTAATACCTTTTAAAATTTATAAGCTTACAGATGTGTCAAACAAATTTTAGGTAATTTAGAGAAACCGTTTTACCATTTTCCAATTACTATGGTGGGAAATTGAGCAATCCGTCAAAAGATTTGATTGAAAATATTTACTTGGAAATAAAATTTTGACTTTTTTATATAGCTAGTGATGTTCAAACCTAAAACATTAGAGGTGTGTTGGTGTTGTACTTCTTAATAGTGACGATGATAACTTAAACGTAACCACTGAAATTTATTTTCAGTAGTCTATATACTAGTTAACATTTTTAGTACTGTGTTTTAAATATGACGATCTAAAAATACATAACGTTCTTTTATTTTTCTTTCATTTCAACTGCAGCACAACATTTAATTATTTAATTTAATCGGAAGTTAATAAACCCCTGAACAATTATTATTGCTACTTTCATCACACCCAACGTATTTTATTGCATGATTCACAGTAACACGAAGCGTGTTAGTCAAAAGGACTACAGTGGCATATCTAAATAATTTAGAGACGTGACCTGGTTTTGCCTCACGTTGGTCTCTATTAAACTAACTCTTTTATAAAAATCTTATGACGGTTCTTATAATCCTTTTATACTAAGGCATAAAAAAAAATATATTTCTGACGAAAAATCTATTTACCACAAAACACAATGTGTGATTACATTTAAAATTGGGGATACCATTGTAACAAGACAATTTCTATCAATACGAAAAAAAATTAGGATCAATGCAAATTTTATAGAGTTTGTATAGCTCATATATTACTAAGGTATATATAATGTGCCACTATTAGTCCAAAATTAAAATTATCCGATTCCTAATACCCTCCAACTTATATTACAAACATTTCTGTATTATTATTAAAGAAATTTATCTGTTAGGAATGCAATTTAACATTATTCAACTGTAATTTACTTATGAATTTCATCCGAAACAATTAAAAATTATCCACAAAAACCTAACTCAGCATTAGTACCTTAAGGACATGAAACAACCTAAAGCTGTTTTTTGTGGTGTATTCTAATTCGCAAACTACAAATGTTGCTTATAATAATGATCTTATACAATTCTGGAAAGGAAAATAATATTATTTTCTCAAATGTCCATGTTATTTATTTAAACAAAACATTTAGGAGTTGTTATTTTTATGTTTGCCTGTTTGGAGGATAAGCTGTCTTCAAGTGGCTTACTATAAGTATGTTTCAGTAGTTGGAAGGTTCCATCTTCGCCCTATCTGATCAGACCCCACTGTGAAATTGGAAATAAATCATACATGCATCATAACCAATGGAACGAAATAAGTTCCCTCGTAACACACTTGACTTATGGCGTATTGCGAATTTTTCCAAACCCGAATGTTGTTTTATTTCTAAGAATATTTATGTAAAGGCGTTTTATTGTTTAATTATTATTTTTGTATTTAAATGTGCATAATTTTTGGTTTAATCTATCAGAGCCAATGTAATGAAGATTGAAATTGTATTTGTAAGTGTTTATTGTGTTTTGCTTGATTCTAAGTATACTAAAATATCATCTTATATATTTAAAAAATTTGGTTTTTCTTTTCCGAGTTCTTTTGGCTCTTCTACCCGACTATTTTCGTGATTTAGGTCTCAAATTTAACGTATGCACGCACAGATTTGCCATCAAGCATCGGCATATATTTATCTATAATCCCGCTCGGCTTATACGTAAACGAAATTTGCTCCCCATGTATTTCTTATGGGAGTTAAATTTGGCTTTTCTTTGCCGAGTTCGTTGGGCTCTTCTACCCGACCGATTTTCATGATTGAGGTCTCAAATTTAAGTTATGCACGCACAGATTTGCCATCAAGCATCGGCATATATTTATCTATAATCCCACTCGGTGTATACGCAAATGAAATTTGCTCCCCATGTATTTAATATGGAAGTTAAATTTAGTTTTTCTTTGCCGAGTTTGTTTGCCTCTTCTGCCCGACCGATTTTCATGATTGAGGTCTCAAATTGAAGGTATGTACACACATTAATTTGCCATCAAGCATCGGCATATAATCCTATATATTTTGGCCTAAGCACCTTCAGTGAAATACCGACTTTCATTTAAGCCATTAGTTATTCAAATCGGACGAGTTTCAAGCAAACGCAAGGTTTTTCTAAGATTAAAAATCAATCTCTCCAGTATGGCAGTATTGATAATGTTTTTTCATATGTTTTAGCCTCAAAATAATCAGTAAATTATAGGCTTTAATTTGGGCTATTGATCGTGTGAGTTAGTTAAACTCAAGATACTGGGATTACTCAATCAAAAATCATTGATTTGATTATTTCTCGGATATTATATTTATTTTAACGCTGCGGAGCAGCATGGGTCCTCTAGTTTTATTGAATTGATAAATTCTCTTAGAGAGTGACAACGATTAAGTTTGTACTTAGATTTCAATATGAACGCAGAGTAAGCTTAAAAATTAAGTAAAATGATTTCAGCTCATCATTGACCAAGATTGCGTTACTCACTAAGACCATCGAAAAAAAGCTGTAGAAAGAAAATATTACATCTTCAAAAAAACTTCTACAGAATAGTTCATTATAATTAACGTATTGTGTAAAACGGTTACGAGATAGAGACTAGCGTCCCAGAGTGTATAACGTAGGACATTAAAAAGACCAAACCTATTTCATATATTAATAATAAATTTAAGTTTATGTTTTCATTAAAAAATAACTGTCTCCTTTACTTACATTAAAATCCAATAATGGCAATATTTCGAATATCGTCTCGTAAAAAGAAATCATTCCTATACGAATCCGAAGCACGCAACGTATAAGGGGTTCGAATGGCGAGAATCTCACAGAGAGCTGCTATGTTCCAAAGCATAACGAACTAAATTCCCGAACGTATTGCATAACATGCTTCGAGCCCTACTGTTACTGCCCTTGCTTTGATTTATGGAATAATAACAGGAAAGTTAGACGATATTTTTATTTGATTACTGTAAATGTCAAAAATGTTGGTCATTTAAGGTTCACGTTGGTTAAGTTGTATTATAGTCTTTCACTAGGATAGAACTAATAATTTCATTTCAATGTAGTTATCATCAATCTTAGAAAACAAATGAAAGTAGTTTAACTGGTCCTCCAGGACAAGTGTGATGTTGTCAATCTGTGAGATTTGTTGTGTACACTAAGATTTACACCAAAAGGAAAAGTTATAGTTAGTGACAATCTGGTACATCATACCTACTGTGAAAGCTTCAAAAAGATAAAAAATCAACCTTCACCGTAGCTAGCACTGTAAAAGGCCCTTTGACTGTGATATATTTTCTTATTGGCTGGAGATGGCCCGTATAAATGGAGCTTCTAGTGACCTATCTTAAACTACTACTTATACTTTCTGTATACGTGATAATTTTATTCAATACTTTTAACTGACCTCAATGGTTCTATAAATATCACAAATTTCCATGTTCTCATCCAAAAGAAGAAGACAACGTTCAGCAATACTTATCTCTGTTGAGTTAAATCGTGTAAAGATAGATTTATTTGTGAACATTTGACTAACTTAATAATAGCTTGTTTAACGATATACATTAGTGTAATAATACAAAGGTAAAATAGTATTTTGCATTGGC